ATCCGACGTCCGAAATATCGGTCATCAGTAAAATCGATCGTACTGGCTATATAAATAGTCCAAACGCGCTAATATTACGACATATTTGTTAGAAAGAGTTGTGAAATATTACTCTATGCTTTTTTTTTCTCCTATGTAGCTGTAACTTTTTGCTTGTCATCTTTTGTTTTTGTGGTCTATGGCGCTGGCCGGCTGACGCAATCCAGCTGTCTGCAGTAACTGGGAGGTCGGTGTTTGTTTGCTGTTTGCATTGTTGTTGTTTATGTTTACTGCTAATGTTTCTGTTTACAGTTAGTTTTTGAGTAAAATTTTAAGCTTTTATATAGGCTATTTAAGTTTACAATGGAAGATTCTGACAGTTCTGATGAAGATATTTATAATAACAGACGCAGACCAGTTAGTGAAAATACACTGTTCAGAAACGTAGTGGAATCTGGTGTTGGTGTTTATGATGACTTGAGTGACAGTTTTGTGGAAAACATATCAGATTCTGAAACTTCTGATAGTGAAAACGAAAGTGATGTTTTGTCAGGTTTTGATGATGATACTGATGAAGACTATGTTTTATCAGAGGAAGAAAGTTCAGATGAAGATGCTCAACCTACAAAATCTCGTGATAGAAATATGCCTCTTGGTAGGCCTAGTGACATAGCTGAAAGTAGGCCTGTTGAGTTTGTAATTTCGAATTCAGGTAGGCCTAGTCCTAACCTAGCTTCAAATGGTAGGCCTAATCCCTCATCAACTAACCAATTGCATGATACCCAATTGCATGATACCAATAATGTAGATTTAATCCAAAATGTCCTTGAAGAAAATGTAGGCCTAAATGAGCCCCTTTTGAACAATGAAGTAAATGTAAATGCACCCCTTTTGACCAACGAAGTAAATGTAAATGCACCCCTTTTGAACTTGAATACAGTACATGCTACTATTGAAGATGTAATAAGAAATTCCGAACGTTGTGAAACCCCTAACCCTGACCCTGATATTCAACCAGATATGGACCCTAGTGAAGAAGAATGGAAACCTGTCCATGAAAGTGATGACCCTGGATTGACCATGACATTTTATTTTTCGAACAACCTGGTCCAAAGCACTGTCCTCCTCGTGATTCTGAACCGATTGATTATTTTTATTTATTTTTCACAGTTACAATCCTAACAAAATTCGTAAGAGAAACTAACAGGTATGCTAATCAGTACATCGAATCACATCTATATAATTTGACCCCTAATTCTAGAGCCCATAAATGGAGACCGGTAACACTAGCTGAAATGAAGGCATTTATTGCAGTAATTTTAAATATGGGCCTAAATAGGAAACCGACAATTCAGAGCTACTGGGCAACATCTGACTCCCAATATACTCCCTCGTACGGAAAGATGTTTAGTCGATCTCGTTTTGAAAGTATTATTCAATTTTTTCATATGGTAGACAATTCAAATTTGCCTAAAATTGGGGAGCCTGGATATGACCCGTGTGCAAAATTTTTGCCCCTGCTAGAAGCCGTCAACAGACTGTTTAGGCTGTACTACACACCACACCGTGAGTTGCCGGTTGATGAAAGTTTGATCGGAACTAAATCAAGATCTCAGTTGTTGCAATACCTCCCAAACAAACACCATCACAAATGGGGTGTAAAGTTATGGATGCTGTGCGATTCCATTTCGAGGTATTGCCTTGCGTTTTATTGTTACAAGGGAACAAAAAGTACTGGACAGAAAACCACAGGCCTAGCCTACAAAGTTGTCCACAAACTGCTTGAGATAGGCCAGTATCTGTACAAGGGTTACCATGTTTTCATGGATAACTTTTTTACTAGTATCCCTTTGGCTACAAGTTTGTATGAGAGACTTACATTCATCACCGGCACCGTACGAAGGAATAGAAAAGGCATTCCATCTAAACTAATATAAAAGAAAAATTCGACATTGGCCAAAAGACCTACATGAGAAATGACCATCTTTTATTTTTAGGCTTCAGAGAGAAAAAGGTCAGAAAAACCCAGTTATTTTATTATCTTCTAAACATACTGCTAAGTCTATTGAAAAAAATAAAAAAAAACAAATGAAAATTTAGTAAAAGAAATTCCTGAAATGATTGATGCATACAACCGTTTCATGGGTGGTGTTGACGGCAATGATCAAATGATGTATTGTTACTTGGATGAGAGACGCACCCTAAAATATTGGAAAAAAGTCACCTTTAACATATTTGCAAGAATCCTCCTAAATGCCTATATAATTTACTCAGAAAATACCAGCGGAAAAGTAATTTCAATATACCACTTTACCATTTCTATTATTGAGGCGCTGTCTTCACAGTGGTACGAAGAAAAGAATCCTAGTAGAGCCCAAAAAGAAGATGGTCCAAATAACAAAACTCAATTTGGCATCACATCTTTACCTGGAAGACAGGAAAGGAACTGCTGTGTGTGCAGTCCTCTTAGCACAAGAATGGGAGGCAAGAGGAAAAAAAGCCGTACAATATGTGTTCGTTGTGGTAAAGGACTACATGGCGTTTGCTTCGGCGAACATAAATGTACCAAATAATAACAATTCCTGTTTGTAAATAGTTTTTTTGTCTTGTGTTTGCATAATTTGTAAATAGTTTTTTTGTCTTGTGTTTGAATGATTGACTGCATGGACTTTTTTATGACTTTTGCATGGCATGTTTTATTGAGTATTGTACAAATTAATGAGGTTGAATAGATTTACTTTTTGAATATTCTCGACATTTTTATTTCATTTTGCGTTTTCAACAATCATTAGTGCTAAGCTAAAGGCCCTACACAAAAACTTATTTTGAGTTTTTTCTACAATATTACTTTTACAATACCATAATTTGATTTTTGGAAGAAATAGTTTGAAAAATGTCATGATTTGTGATACAGTCTTGGGGTAACCCTCATTTATCAAGATGCAAGTATTTTGGAGTTCGGACAAAGATTTTCAAATTTGCCTACAACTTCTTCATTTTTCAAGGTAGGTGCATGGAACTTGTGGTGTTTTGTTCAGAACTAAGTAGGGAATTTGAGAATACTAACATTATATATGGTCTCAATGTTTTTTTTTTTTTTTTTAGATATACACGTTCAAACATAATATTTTTCTAAAAATAAGAAATCAAACGTATTATAATAAAAAATAATAAAAAAAATGTATATTTAATATGGGTTATTTTCACTTATTTTTATGTAGAATTTCATAGGGAATAAAAGGAAACAAAAAGTATGTCTCTATCTGATCAGACAAGGAAGATACATAAATTTTACCAAACGCTTACAAAAATTAGTAAAAATGTCTGGAGTTTTTGGCTAGGCCTATCCGGCAAAGTACCGGCATTTTTGGCTAGGACCAAAAAATTTTTGCCGGAGTGCAAAGGGTTAAGTGTTTCAAGAAATAGGTTTACATTATCTTTTGAAAAGCATCTTTTATATTTTGTTTTATTTCCACCTTCCCAATGAGGTATATCAAATAAAAAATCTAAAATTTGACCATCGTGGTCAGAGAGATAAGTGATCACACCTTCTACTTTAGTTTGTGCTTTTGAAATAGATGTAAGGAAATTATCAATACATGTTTGACTTTTTTTCACTTATTCTTTTGGGAAATGTAACTAAGTGAGACATACCATGACTACTCAACAAATTGCATAGTGCTTTACAATCTTTTTCGTTATTAATAACATTTATATTTAGATCCCCAGCTATTATGAGATTACTACAAATAGAAAGTAGATTCATTATTAACTCGTTCAAAAGCTCTATAAATTCAAAAGGATTTGTGCTCGGGGAGCGATATATGCCTACTAGTACAAACATATTTTTATTAACTATGAATTTCACAGCACAAAACTCAAATTTTTTATCTTCTCCTAGATTATGAAATTTGATTCCTACCACCTGCTTCCACTTAATAGATTTACTACACAAAATAACGACACCTCCTTTTGTGTTTGTGGTTTTCTCTGATTGAAAAAAAACTTGGCTTGACTCAATTGAAAAATCTCAGGCTTGCACACCTATACTGTTTAGTGTTTATACTAATTACACCTCTACTGTTTATACTAATTTTAGTGTTTTGTTTTTTTTACAAGAACTCACTATCCAATTTTTTGATGGATTCAAATAGTATATCGGATGTGATTGATTTTACATGTTTAATCAGCCAAATGGAAAATGGTTTGCTGCGGCGGGGATATTGTCTCATATCACTGGCCCCCAAACCAAACCAATATATAATACTTTCAAATAATTTCAATTTAGTCTTAATCCATTTTGTACGAACAATCTTTACATGCTTAATAAACAAGCAAAAGATTAGAGAACGACTGCACTGAGCCACTGATATACACAGACTGACCAAACTACTGATTTACGTCCAAGCAAAACTGCATAAGTGTGAAAGCAAACAAAAGAAGTCATGTACTATATCATCTGATACGGGCCTGTATTAAAAGTTAAGGATCGTCCGGGCGTTTTTTGCGCCCAAACAGATGTGTATGTTTGTCTGGGCAAAACCGCTCTAGTTCGAAATATTTTCAGATGATCTATAGTCATCTGATGCGGGCCTGTATTAAAAGTTAAGGATCGTCCGGGCGTTTTTTGCGCCCAAACAGATGTGTATGTTTGTCTGGGCAAAACCGCTCTAGTTCGAAATATAAGGTCGAATAGACAAAAAAAATTTTTTGCCTATACAGACTGGTCCCAAAACTCACTGGTGTTAAAGAGGGCTTATTAGATCCACTGATCTTTCCATAATCTGCTTGATATAGGCTGGAGAAGAAGAGACCATAGTACAACTTTTTTAATACAATTTTATTTGTTTAAAATAATATTGTTTATCTCTAATGGTGGTTTTAATTTCCATAAGTTTTTTTTTTTTTCTACTAATAGTAATGGTTGGTGTCTGCAATTACCCGTTAAATAACTTTTGGAGAAAATATGAAATTGATTAGACAAATTCCAAACTCTGTATACATTTATCCCATGTTGACAGCCTTGACTGAGACATACAGTGAGGAACCTGAACATGGGGTGGAGGTGGAGGCGGAGGTGCAGAGTGGAGGGTGGAGGAGGTCCAAGCAGTACCTGGAGGATTGTGTAGATCTACTGGCTGGCAGACTGTTGTCTGTGTGGGAGGTGGACGATGAGGAGGAGTGGCTAGAACAACAGGAACACACTCTGCAGGAACAAGACCCAGCAGAGAGAGTCAGCAACTGGCTCAATGACTACACACTCCAAGGTTAGCAGTACAGACATGGTTCTCTTATGCTAGTGTAATAGAACAATAGTGCAATAGAAACACTCAATTGTAACGCCAATTTTACAAATTATTCTCTTGAATTTAATCTGCCATCAGGCAAAATAAAACTAATAACTTTATAAGTTTAATTTTCAAAGGTTAATATCAAGAGCAACATAACTAAATCTTCACTTACAACTATTTTAAAGTACAACTCAATAAAAACGTCTGGAAGCGACATCTGATATATGTGCTGTAGTCTAAGTTTAGAAATGGTTTATGCTTTTAATTTTTTATGGCTTAAATGTTTTACTGATTGATGTTTGTTATTTTCTCTGCAACAGACACAGCACCACTGAAGCCCAAAGTGACGAGCACACCATATGTGAGGCGTGTCAGTCCCCCCAGGTCTCTAGACATTCCTGTACAGCCACAAACACAACCCCCCCAGGTCCCCTCACCACCCCCCTCCCCTGTCAGCCCTCCTCGCAAGAGACAACGGTTACTGCAGGTCACACCACCTTCTCAACAATTCACATCTTCTACAAAGCCGCCGACCACCACCGCCAAAAAAAAGTTCATCCCCGGCTTCTAATTGAATATAAGTGATCAAATTTGGTAATTATTTTGTGAACTATTTTGTTTCGTTACATTTTGTTACAAGTATTGTCAAGTTGTTAACCACTGTAAAGAGGTTAGTCTCAAAATCTAGACCACAGTTTTTTTATGTTTTAAAAGTATGCTTGGATTGATCTTGTGTTGAGGTGCTCATTGCTCAACCAAAGTATCGTAAGTATTGAATTGAAAATCAGAATTACATTATCATTTCACTAATTATGCTTCTCTCATATTTAATGAGAAATAAATAAATGAATTTCCTCTTAAAGATTACTATCATTACTTAATACTATTTGTTCTGTCCGTGCTTCGAACGGGACAAGAATACTTTAAAGAATATTGTGGATCTCTGAAACAAAACAGTTGGTATCTTAAAATCTGTTGCACACTGTGAAGAAAATAAAATGCTTTTCTACTTTGTATGGATATTTTTTACAAATAAACTGTTTGTATCCCATGGTATTTATATATCCATTGTTTTGTTTACCTCTTGTCACCTCTTACTACACTATCTTTAAAAAAAATCAGTCATAATCAGGATAAACACAAGCAGGCTCTATTAATAAACTAAAAATGTTAATAAAATATAATTGAAACTCTAAATATATTTACACACTTATTTTACTTTGTGTCTAGGGCCTACGGTTCCAGAAATTAATTATTTCAAATTGATTCAAATAATGTTTGATAAGTATTGAACTCAGTAAAATTTAGTTCAAACAAGTATTTAATATTTCACGGCAAGTAATTAAAAATACGTCTAATAACACTAAATACATATTTTTACACTTACTTATACTGTTAACTCATACGGTACTAAAAGAAGATAAGTTAAAATATATAGGTACTAGCTTCTACCCACTGCTTTGCCTGCGATCGTATAACCATCATACATCATACCATCATAAGAAATAAACAGAGTATTACAATCCAAATCAAAACTGATGACACAACTGGATACTTGAAGGTTTCCTAATGTTTGTTTACTTAATCTTTTTATTGTGGTCTGTCTTTGGTTCTGTTACGGTTTAACAAATAATTATCCGTAGTAGCTTCACCAATGATCACAAAAATAAGTTATTATTATTATTTTTTGCAAAGATTATAAAATCATGTTACAATTAAAAATTCGACAGCGACTTAACTACAACCAAAAACAAAATGAAAACCATCTAACACCAAACATGTGTAATCTCCAACTAAAAACTCTGCCGGGTAGTTTAATAGTCTTCTCTCAGGAGGGTGTTCACTAATTTGTACGTACGTTCTTTAACGTGAAAGAGCCATCGCCTAAATGTTTATCTGCGTTGCTTGCTCATTTTAGGTGTCAGAATTGCACAATCATAGAGCCAGGCACTATCCATGTTAAGTAGTTCATGAACTTCTGAAAATACACTGGTTATCAGTTTTTCTTGTGATCTGATAACACCAACACCAAGTGAAGGAGGTGCGGTTATTATCTTATTTATAATTTCTAATGTTCCGTCTCCATCCTTCATTAGAATCTCTGGGAATTCCTTAGCTCCACATTGATCAATGCAAACAGAACTCATATTTAATGTGAGTGAGAGGCGTTTTATGGTTGGCGTTCTATGGTTGACCTTAAAGTAGATCGCTTCAGAGATGCATGGATTTCGTCGGCCCTCCTACCCGCACCACAACAGGCAGAGTATCTCTAAAGTCACCAGAAAGCACCACAGTTACTCCCCCATGGTGGTTGGGCTATTTCTACTATCTTTAAATGTCCCGTCCAGTGCTTCAATGGGGACTTTGTAAACCATGGTGCATTTGTCCCATATAATTAGGGAGAAATCTTGAAGCACTCTAGCCATTGGGGAGTTCCTTGAAATAGAAGATTCTACCTGTATCAAATATTATTAATATGAATTCATAAGTATTGAAATTACAATACCAAACAAAATGTTTCACCTTTCTCTTAAAAACATTAGTCAGGACTCTTTTCTTATGATTTGTTATAATGTACATTCAATAGTATGAAAAATAAATAAAAACTCTCACTGAATCTGAATTCTGAATACAGAATGTTTGTATACAAAAATAATCACTAACAGCCGAAACTTTATTTCATAATATTACATAACACGTCACCCGCTCTATAGTCAATGGCATTATTTGCATTTTATTTAGCTTTAAATAGCTTTGTGCTTATTCTCACAAATTGTCAAATACAAATTTGAAGCCCCAAGTGAGGCCCCCGGCAACCGCCGTTAGGGAAATACGGCCCTGACTCGTCGTCAAAACACAAGCATATCTTTCTTCAAAAGGTCATACAAAGGTCGCAAAACACCTGCAATATTGGGGACAAACTTAGAGTAATAGTTGAATAAACCCACAAAATAGTCATTGAATAGAATAGTCATTTATTCAGTCTTTAAACAATACATCATTGTAATTGACATCGTCATTATTATTGTAAAAAGATATAAGATGCAATACTTATATAATTAATAAAATTAGACATGAAAAAATCCAAAATATAGGCTGCCCTTCGTTTAACATTTAACAGGTTTATAATAATTTAAAAATACTTACTTACTTCAAATAGGCAAACTTAAATCATGAATGACAGTGGGTCTTTCTTAAAAAAGGCTAATGGCTATCACAGGTGTAATCTCGTAGAGGGACAAAATTTCTATCATTAAATCACAGATGGAATATGGTAAAAAAACATATCAAAATATGTGGCACAATTTTCTCGCACTGGAAAAAAATATTAAAAGTGCAGTCGCAAACGTTTGCCGAGGATAGTACAGCCTACTTTGGCTGGGTAAAATTCCATGGTCTGTGATAAGGTCAGGGAAAACACTAGGCCAAAAGCAGGGTCTAACCGGGATAGGGCTGGCTCATACACGGGCTTACAGGGTGTCTACCAACCGGGAAAACCGGGAATTGTACTTAAATTTTTACTGGCCATGAAATGTACGGGAATTGTCCTTAAATGCTAGACTATGTCCTTAAATTTTTAATGGGCCATAATTTTATTGATCGCTAGTTGGTTAGGAGCACATAAAAGGTTTATCAGATGTTTGTTTACATTTTCATAATTTATTACTAGAGAGTAATTATGCAATAAAAATCCTATTAACAATCTCAAACCCATTAATATTTTATCACGACAATCAAGTGTCAAGTCAAGTACTTCCAAGAACTGTTGACTCAGCAGCTAGCTCATAAAAGTTGTATCACTTTTATTCCTTTACAACTTCTTTTTTTATTACTAGGGTAATTATTATTAGATCCCAAACATATTTTATCGTGAAAATAATAGCTTTATAATGGCTGTTAAATTTCACTTCTTACTTGTACTTTCGGCAAGCCGCGGCGATTGCCTAGTGCCATAAAACTGTTTATGGTTTCATATTAAACGTGTAAATAATCTACAGTCTTATTTTGTAAGTTAACCCCTTTTTTATGGACATTTTATCTTTCAATTGACAAAACCACAAGCATTGTTGTTTGCATTAATGTTTTATCACTATGTAGGCCTGCTTGGTTTCAAATTATGTCATTGCATTTTCTGTATCTTTGTCTTATATTGTTGGCTATTCAGGTTTCAATGTTTTTTGTTTCCCATATATTTATTTATTGAGTTGTATGCTTTAAGCAATCAAAATCTTATGAACTAGAATGATGATAGTGACTTTGCTGCTATTATAACCTCATTGTTTGTTACTCAGTTTATATAGGCCCTCCTAAATAATTAGGTCTAGGCCTGGGTATTTTGATTCTTGAAAGAGCTGTAAAATATATTAAGAAAATGTAATTGAGCCTAAGATAAACGACTAATGATTGCTATGTGTCGATATTAACTTTGCAAATGAAAATACAATAATCTTACTCTGTGCTCATTGCTTATTAATAGCCGCTAACCAAACCTTGAAGAATTGAGTAACAATATGCATTAAAGATTTTTTTTTCAAAAGTAGTCGAGAACCTAACGTTGTGCCAGGGCGAATCATGCCAAATTAATCGGCCTGGATCGGATAAGCTATGTTATGAAGTTTACGTGACTGATGGAGATATTTGTCGCTATCGCAGGAGACAATGATTGCGTTTCTCTGTTACACTATAAAAGCTTTACTTAAAATAGTAGGCCTATGTTTGTTTACTTTCAATAAATTTCTATTTTGTTATTTTTAACTCTTATCTATTATTATTTACTTTTCTCTCTGGTACAACTGCAGTTAATAACAAGATTAATACAGTTTGACAAATCAGGAAAATTATTCGGTAGGCCTAATGACACCGACAAAGGTTACGGCAAAGTGTCCTTAAATGTACGGGAATTGTCCATGAATTTTTTATCCAGAATGTAGTAGACACCCTGGGGCACTGTGAACAAGTAAAAAACAAGTCACCAAAACAAACATGCAATACTGTAATCACCACCAGGCCTAAGCCGATTCTCCACTCTCCTAGGGGGTCGTTCCTGACTACGCAACTCGGGCTTCGTCCTAACTATCCAATAGTTAAGCCCAGAGTGCCTAAAACAAAGTGAGTTACACAACGACTTGACAATAAAAACCACAATGCGAGTTATCGCCAGGCGGGGTCTAATCGGCCACTATAATCCAATACACAACTCTAATGTGTACAATGCTCAATCTAACAATCAAACATTTCACTCAGTAATAATACCGTATAGTAATAAAAGTGCACTATTAAGCAGAGTGACTACACCTCTAATATCTGGTCTCAACCCACATAGCACAGAATATGTATTTGATATCAAATAAATGTTTGATATATCAAACTATGTCAAATCAAAAATTTGATATTTATTTGATATTCATTTAATGTTCAAAATGTCAAAGTCAAACAATGTCAAACTTTGAATATTTATTGTATCTTCATAATATCAAAATCAAATAACATCAAATTTAGAATATTATCTGAATATTCTAAATGTTAAAAATGTGATTTTCTCTTTGAAAATTTCTAAATATACTAAAGTTTTAAAAATTTTTAGATTTAAGTTTTCAAATTCTTTAGAGTAAAGAATTAGTCCCCAGCCTACAGTTTGTAACATGGAGGTCTGAGGTCAATTAATTATCTCAAAATAATTAATAATAGGAAGGAACACTGAACACTGTAATTTTTAATTAATTGGTGATGGATTTTGACTTATCGCGGGGGGGGGGGGAGTTGTTGCAACATCTGATATTTTAAGAGTGAATAGGAAACACATCTTTTTTTTAAGTTTTGTTTATTAATAAAAAAGTCAAACTCTTAAAGATTGGCCTTATCATTTTATTTGTACTAGTAAATTAAACCAAACGTAAATTTAAATTTTTTTAAGTGTAATATAACTCTAAAAATAGGTTAAGTATCTTGTTTGAGCTTGACTTGACCCATTCGTACTATAGGAAGAGAGGAAGACTGAAGACAAAACACCAACTTAATTCTAACCTAACTCTAACTCAGCAAACAAAACAAAACATTACAAGTAACATAATCCGTCGCGCGACCAGTGGACAGTGGTGGCCAGTTTACTCACTGTGTTGATTTATTTATTAACCAACAAATTGCCCATTTTGAGGGAAAGTACACGATTTATGTAAAATGTACCTATGACAACTAACTTGTTGAGTAGGCTTCACAAGTAGTGAAAATAAACTATGGAAGCAACAAGAGTATCAAGATTCAAGAACAAGACATAACCTCAAATCAGTTAACTTAAGTGTTTTGATCTTTTGTTTAGTGTGTGTCACTGTTAGGAGTTGATGGCCGTGAAGATAGCTATCACCAGCTGTCATCCCTCCAAAGTTTCCCCCTCCACCAGACATTTGAGTTTACCCCTACGAAGTAGTCAGTGCTTTGCACAAGTAGACCTCCGATTCCCGTACTTTATATTTTCTAAAACTGTAAGCTTTAAGGGTTATAACCTATTTAATTATAAGAATTACTTTGTAATTATTAAAATGTATTAATAAAATAATATAAAACATAAATATAAGTAATCTTGACTGGTGGTAAAAACTACGCAAATGCCAAATAATGTCATCAATAAGAAATATGTATTTACCTTGACCCTATTTAAACTGAACCAAATTTTATTATTGATTATATAAAGAAACATGATTGCTCTTAATAAGGTATGAAAATTGAAAAAAAGAGTAGGACCTTAGCGAAAAGGGCGCTAAAACCAGAAAAATGGTAAAATAATTTGACAAAATTACTATTTTTCTTATCATGACCCCGATTGATTGCAACAAATTTTATTACTGATTATACTAGTATAGATGATCAATTTTAATAAAAAAAATATGATAATTGAAATTAAAGTGCAGGATGTTGGCGAAAATGGCGTCGAAAACCACGAAAACGGTCAAATAATGTGACAAATTCACAAATTTTTCGTACCATCACCTTGATTGATTGCACCAAATTTTATTATTGATTGTACAAGTATACAGGGTGAGTTTCTACTAAGTGCGTTAATTTTTACCAGTTATTCTACTCACTAAAAGGAACAAAAAATGACAAACAAAAATTTTACATCCCCACCCGTTATGCTGTAATGGCCGATTATGTGAATTTTTAAAATTACCTGTAGTAGCTTCACTAAAACGAGCATAGAAATTAAGCCAATACACGTACAGCATAATAACTTATACCAATGAAAAGAGCGTGAAATTTTCTACAAAACCATTGCAATACCTTTAACATACAACCATATTTTCACCGTTTTATGTCTCACATAACATAAAAAAAGAAGTTTCAAAATTAATTGTTTACAACTTCACAGTGGATTTACAACTATACATACTAATGTGATGTTTTGTCAAATTACGTAAAAAACTTTCCCATTTCATGCCCTTTAAAATGATGTAACCCATAAGGTTATTGCTGTATTAAAAGTTCGAAAAATTAGGTCAAAACCGCGTCAAGGTCAGAGTTTTCGGAATCAAAACATTGAACCAAATGTAATACAGTATCTGTTAATTTCTTTGCTATCTTATAATCAGCTGACATCTGATCAGCTGGGTGTTAAACTTAGTTTACAAAACCAGCTGATTTCAATTGTTGGCTTGTATTGTTGTGTGTTGTTGGCTGTTATTCGTTTTGAAATAACGCCTGTAATACTTTGCAATTGCTTGAATTCGAGCAACAGGTGCACTAGTTTAAATATATTTGTTGATACAATTCAAATCAAGTATTTACAGTATGTAATACACTTTTAGGTAATTACAAGTAAAATACCCCCCCCCCCCCCCGTAGCAAACCTGCTGACTAAGCGAATTTCCATCTACCTGACTGGAACTCTACTCAACTAAATTATTCCCTTAAAATTGTCAGATTTATTTCCTACTTAAATATCATTAATTTTAATGAGTATTTAGGTTTGCTGCTACAAGGAAGAAAATGGGGGTTTTATTGACATATCAAGAAGATACATAAACTTTTTTTATAAATTTATTATTCATAGAAATTGGGTATAAATAAAAAAACACAGCAATGAATAAATGGATGGACTTAGGTATTTCAATAAATAATAAGATTTTGTAAATACAACACAAATAAATACACTAATGACTAAAGCTATATTTTTATTTGATGATAATGAACTGTGAACAAAGGATCACAGATTACCTAGCAATTCAGAATGAATGAACATGACAAAAGTATAAATAAGACTTATCACCATTTAGACTTTATAAAAAATATATAGTAATAGCAAAACGGGAGTGCCGATGGAGACCAGGTCAACTTCCTTCACACGCACGCACCCCCACAGGTCTCTATTGGCACTCCCGTTTAGCTAACACTGTAGCTTTTCAATCTTTGAGAGAATGGTTGCAGTCATTTAAAACAAACTACAGTAGTATCAACAAACAGATTGTTAAATAAGTTTTAATCTAACTGGCACATTAAATAATTGCATGTGTGGCTTTTTTATGGGAGGTGTTTAACATGGAGACTTGGTTCACGTCATCCAAGAGAACTATCTTTATTACTTGATAGATGAGTCCAAGACGGGGTTTGAACCAAAGGGTCTGCTGCTTTGTATCTGGGATTAAAGCTGTTAACTGGTATGATTTGAATGGACAGAAGTCCTGCGGTCTAACCACTAAGACCAACACACACCCGTCGTCCGTCTGTTGGCAAACATTTGCGCGCCTACAAAATTATTTCTACCCTATTTATTAAATGGGTGAACGCACATCGCATCTGTTGGTTTCCAGACGTATCCTTCCATCTGCAAGCCAACGCAATGAAATAGCTCAGTGAGCGATTGAAATAAAATGAAATCGTATAATATTTCCAAGACAGTATTAAGTAGCTTATTCCCTACATGGGAAATGCGCTAAAAGAAAATTACAAATTTTTTCATTCAAATATAAAACAGTTTAACAGAAGTTTAAGAAAAATGAAATAAATTTATAAAATAATTTATAAATAAAAAACCTTTTATAATACCTCGTTTTTAAAGGTACTAAAAAGTAGAAAATAATTTATAAATATGTGGTTACAATCAAAACAGGCTTTTTTAAAAAAAATATGATTTCCTCTTATTTTATGGGTTTTTATGGGAAAATAACATAATTTACAATAACTTTTGAACTGTAAGTTTTACGGAAATGGGAGTAGTAGCCTACCATTTTGTTCAGGATTTAAAGGGCTACAACATACTAAATTTGTATCAAAATCGTTTGGGCCATTTTTGAGAAAATCTGATTTTTCCGTTATACATTTTATGAAAAATCAACAATAAAAATCCAAATTTAAAAAAAAATTGGAAAAAAAAACGTGTGGAGATACCATGGACTAGTACCTACAAACAAAATTTTATCAAAATCGGACTACAGGTGTGGTCTATCTATACACATCCAGACACACAGACATCACTTCAAAAATCACTTTTTGGGGTTCAGGGGGACCCAAAATGGGTATATCCACTAAAATCTTAAACTCAAAAATGTTGACGAAAACAATACTTTCTCCATATACTATGTATAGGAGGAGAAAGTAAAAATTACATTTCTGTTGGGTTTACATTGTTTATTCATTTTAAGACTATGTAGCAGTTATAAATTAAAACTTTAACATAACAAAAAATATACATATTATTCAAAAGCAATAACTAATATAAATGTTTATACAGTGTGTCCCGGAACTCTCTACCAATATTTTAGGGCATTGATCATGGGTAAGAAACATAACTAAATATCATATTTAAACTGTCCGGAAGTCCTTAGTTACTCACACAGCCACCATTTTGTTTTTTTCACTTATTAATTTTTTTTAAAGAATGGTTAAACATACGAAATGGAAACTTTGCACAAACATTTATGACAACTAGACAAAGCTACCAAAAAAATGTCACGATTTTTCAAATTTCATAAAACAAAATGGCGGTCATTTAAAATTTTTGTAAAATCAATGGCTTTTGAGTTATTTAAGAAAGAAAATTTTAAATGGCCGCCATTTTGTTTTATGAATTTGAAAAATCTTCATAATTTTTTTGTAGCTTTGTCTAGTTGGCATAAATGTTTGTGCAAAGTTTCCATTTCGTATGTTTAACCATTCTTTAGAAAAAAATTAATAACTGAAAAAGCAAAATGGCGGCTGTGTGAGTAACTAAGGACTTCCGGACAATTTAAATATGATATTTAGGTACGTTTCTTACCCAGGATCAATGCCCTAAAATATTCGTAGAGAGTTCCGGGACACCCTGTATATAAATATAGTTGATCCTGAAGCCTAAACAATTAGGGTCAACCGGGGCTAATATGAACAAAAAAAGTAAACTTTTGACATTAACTCAAAAATGGTAAATGACAGAAGAAAAGAAAAAATAGTAGTGTATACAGCTCTTTTAGCTGAATCTATTTATTTACTAACAAAAACCATAAATCTAACCATTATTTAAAAAAAAATTAAAAACCACTGTTCACATTAGCCGCTAAAAGGGGCTAATGTGAACAGCCCATGGGGCTAATGTGAACACTCTTAATAACTCTGTTATTTACAACACTAGGCATATGTGGGGGCTGTTGTGAACAATCCTAGGGTCTAGTCTACCAGTTGCAATAAGTCTCTATTTTATCTTAAATAGTTTTTGAGATATGAAGGTATCTTTGGAGAGCCGCGGGTCGCCCTACGGTAACCCTTTTTTTTTAAAACCATTTATAAATATTATACAGGGCTAATAATAAGATATAAACAAGAAAACAATTATCTGTCAACATACCTGAGTATTTATTAAAAATTTCTTCCACATACAAATTGTTTAAAGCACTTAAAAAAACTATAATTTAAGACAATGCAAATTGTTCGTTTAGGCAAATGACAGTTTATTGCACTTTTAGGCCTATTAGGTAAATATAAAAATGTGGGCTAGGCCTATTCAACACCTTAACTGTTGTCTTTGTAAAATTAAAACTGTTTTATCACTGTAAGGCCTTCAAAGAAGTTTATTGAGGAACTTACGCCTCAAAAACTTCGACAATTTTGTCGAAGACATACTTATGTCTATCACTGGTTCCACATACATTAGGGGCTGGAAGTTTCCCCAAAATGTCAGTGGTAGAAACAATAAATATATCATCTTCTTTTTTCAGGAATGATTTTTTTTCCTCATCACAGAATTTAAATCCCATCACTTCGATCTCCCCGTCAGCCAGTGTTTTTAACACTGTAGCGACATAGCGGAAGGTGGTACTTTGGCGGCTTCCACCTTTGCATTTTACTAAAATGAAGTCACCAACCTTTAGATTTTCTGGGCTGTCTAGATCTTGATAATCTAATTCTGAGGGTTGAATTATGTCGTTCAAATCCGCTACTCCTAGACTGTCCTCACTGTCGCTGCTCTCAATGCGGAATTTAGGCCTAATTCTTTTGTATTCTTTAACAAATTTTAACCCTTTGCATCTAGGTTTAGTAGGCCTATTTTCTGGTGCTGCTTTCTTCCGCTTTAGGTCAACATTTTTAGGCCCAGTTCCTTTTGGTTTGTTGTTTTTTGCATCATTTAAAATCTGCTCGGTGGTAATTTTAATCCATTCTTCACTCGTGATGTCACTGTTCACAATAGCCCCCATTCACTGTTCACATTAGCCCCCCAACTTTGAAAGATAATAACTTTGGCTGTTATTAATATATTTTAACTTTGGGAAAAGAAAAATAATCCCCAATTCTTATTTAACAAAATTCAGGCTTAAGATTATTCCTACAACCAATGTAAAAATTGTTATAACAAAAGTTTTCACTTTGCGCGGAAAAGTTTTTTGGGCGGAAAAAAAGTGTTTTAACAAAGTATTTTTTTAAAGTACCTAAAAGTCAAATTTGAAGTTTTCTCATTATGGACACAAAAAATACAATAAATTTCCTTTCTAATTATATTTTTTTCATGATTAAAAATCCCAGATAAATGAGTTTTTAAGTCATTGTTCATATTAGCCCCAATATTTTGGTGTGTTCATATTAGCCCCGGTTGACCCTATAACAAACTCAAAGCTACAACACAAACTAGTAAAATATTCCATGTGTTACATGGCAGTAAAACATTATCTTGCAATAATAATCACAGATCACCAGACAATTAATGTACAAGTTTAAAGAAGAAAAAAACTCAAATATGTTAAATAATTTCTCACATACTGGTCAGCCTTTATGAAAACACTTATATCCATTTACAATATCAAACAATAAAGGAATACAAAGCTTGGTGGTAAAACAATCAATGGCTCTTTGGCACAGTATAGAATCCTTGCAATTAAAGAGATTCTCAGTAAACAATGTACAAATTAAATTGAGAAACCATCAACTGTTAAAACTAGTCCCAAGAAAGAGAATTTCATAAACAAAATCAAGGAAACACAAAAGATCAACATTTAGTAAAATAGTCAAAGGTAAAATACTAGAAACAAACAAAGGCTTTTTACAATTTTAGCCGTTAATTGTGGTATTTGACTACAAGCAGAACAGCTGGTAACTTAAATAGAGTCTATTAGATATCTTAAAATCCGCAAAAGGTATGCATTCAATATAAATAGCTTACTGGATAGGTTAATTGCCTCTAATGTATTTTAAGTTACTTGAGGCAAGTAACCTGGCCGCCAACTGGTCTCGTGTAAACATGACTTTAGGCCAGATTAGGTTTAATTCAAATTAAATACAAAATGAAACTTATGCACACAATTATGAAACCTAAACACAAAATGATTCAGATTATGGGACTATTACAGAACTGATTGGAGTAGCTTGGCAAAATCATTAATGTCATACAATATACTTTCTATTATTTGGATCTATTTGATTCTGATTTTAGTATAACACTTTGAAAAAAACTCTTTGCACATGACCTAGACTTAAGCCCTTGTCGCATGAAAAAGTATCAGTTTTTACAGCAATGTAGAGATGTTTTATTTATTTATTGTTCATTTTAATAATTTGTGTTTGTAATGCGTCGTTGTAGCATAGGCTACCAATTAAACAAAATTAACTTCTGATATTATTAATTCTGAATGAGCTTATATCCGAATGAATCTGATCAAGATAGTCTGCTGTAATCAATTGTGGAAGAATGATAGCAAACTATTAGTAAAAAATCCTATCCAAGATTAAATTTAAAATGTCCAATGTTTATAAAATAAATAATCTCTAAAACTATCACCACACCGAATTCACATGCAGAAATTGGATTTTTCAAACGGCCATTTAAAGTAAAACAGAAGATAAATATCCTGCATATTTCTGGAAATGTATGAGCAGTTACTTATCCCTTCCCTAGTGTGTTAAAATGTTGTTTTGGGTAAAACACTTTTAAACGAGTACAGGATTGAATAATTAGAAGACTTTTTCCTATAGGAAGCTCATGCCTTATGTTACGACAGATCAGATAGAACAGCTTCCAACAAAGAGGGACAACCGTCCACTCGCATCCCTCTACGCTTCATGCAGCAGAGGCGTTCCTGCAGCAACTCTTTGTCCCCGTTCTGCAGCAAAGTGGCAGTCAACTGCAGCAAAGGCACGTAGTACCTGTGTACAGAGCAACCTGATTAGACTCTTCTGCATGTAGATAAGTTTAGTCGCTGATTTATTTTGATATTTTTCTATGTTTGTATCTGAATCTAATTGAGAATGAAAAACAAAATGCTTACTCAACATAATATTATATGTACACTTAAATTTAGGCTACTATATTCATTCCACAATAAATATTTTGTGTTTGTATTGAGCTGTTGTCAAGGAATGTGATAAACACCATAGTATAATGGGTAGACTACATGCTTAAAAGCAGGACAGTAAAAGTATTTTAATAAGGATCTGCAAAAGAGGTTATGCCCAAAGAAGATGTTTTCAGAGTAGTATTTTATCAATCAATCAATCAATCCATTTTATGTTTATAGGGTCAAAAATGGGAAAAACCAATTTTTACCCCATAAAACCCCCCATAAACCACCGTTCCCAAAGTCCGATCATGCTGGTTTGCGAACACGTTCAAATAAAAGCAAGTTTACACGTTTGTACCAAATTCCATCAAAATCGGATCATTTTTGCTTGAGTTATAGTGCTGACGGACATATATATAATATATATATATACTAGGTGAAACCCGTCGAAATCGACGATTACTTTCAAGGCTTACGCTAATTCATCTAACTGCGATAAATTGAGTGAAATTATACATATTTTGAGCATTTAGCATTGTTTAAAGATCAATAAGTGTAAAAACAATAATGAAATTAATTGCGTTAGTTACCAAATATGGTTGATCATTCAACGAATAAAATATTTCCCATACTTTGGAAGACCTTTAAATAGTATCAAAATCGTATTGGTGGATCTTTTTTAGTTAAAAACTTCCCCGATTTCATCAGTGTAATAAAGATGAATCTATGATTTTATTTGAGAGAAAATATAACTGCTTGTTGAGGAGACACTTTTTTAACTTGAAAGGGAGGTATATCCCTCACAGTGTAAGTTTGATTTTTCCTTCGTCATGTCGCATCAGTTCATATCGTACTTCTTGCCAATGAATTACCCTCTAGTATAGTTTTAAGAAATCGGTTGTGGGGTTAATGTTAAAGCTAAAAGACACTTCTGCACTTGTATTATTTTGTATTGTATTACACAATAGAAGATTTTACCAATGATTGAAAACTTGTATGACAATATCTCACGAACCTATGACCTATAACCTATCTGTCTAGAATAATATGATAAAATATAGCCAAAAGTGGTGAAAAAGGCAGATACCAACCCGTACAATAGATATAAGATAGTTCAATAAGATATGATTGTTAAATAAGAGTTACTGTGATAAAAGGATTTTCCACTGATTTCGTAATGGAACGTTATATTGCAAAATATGACATGATACAGAAGAAAATCAATTTCAAAATCAGAAAATAACATTGCAAATAACTTACTTCTTTTTGACAATTCAGTAACTCCCAATAAATGTGTGTTGTTTAAAATACAATTCAAAAATTAACAGCTGTTTCATTAAAAAGTATTATCCACATGGACAAAATGTAAACAACTCTGTGGAGGGATCTTTATGGGCTTCTGGGGCAGAGCCCTAACGGGATTCACTTAGTTTTTATTTTGGTAACTCATCTAGAGACCAAGACCTTTCTTTGGACACCTCTACCAAGTTTCTACGCCCAGTCGTTCTCTCAAATTAATGGAGACAAAGTTACCAATTAAATATTTAGATTCCTCCATGTTATGTCTTATGGGAGAAAATCCAACTTTGATGGAAGATCCTGCCCAAACTAATAAAGATTTCAATAAACGAAAAAGACTTTGCAAAACTACAGATCAGGGCCATTCATTTGACACTTTAATCATCAAAATCGGTCCAAAAATGAGGGAGGAGTTCTGTTTACAAAAATCGGCTTAGCGTATTATAGATAGATATAATATATATATATATATATACTAGCTGTAACCCGCGGGCTTTGCCCCGTTTAACTTCTTAATTTTCAAGATGATCTCCTTCGCATGGCTCAATCACGTCCTGGTTGAAGTTCGTTCGCTACGCTCATTCACCTTTAGGTTGGAGCTCGTTCGCTACGCTCACTCGCCTTTGGGTTGGAGCTCGTTCGCTGCGCTCACTTGCCTTCAGGTTAGCTCGTTCGCTACGCTCACTTGCCTCCAGGTTGATGTTCGTTCGCTATGCTCACTCACCTTTTGGTTGCAAATTAGCTGTTGTCATAAATGTAAAAGAAATAATAGTGCTGCACCCTGTTGGTAATCCTTGTAACTTTAATGCTATTGAACATCATAGAACAGAACCAACTTGTTTAATTGAAACAGCGGTTAAGATTCATTAATTCCATTTTCATAAGGTTAACATGGGAAACTCCAGAGCCACTGGGGCGGAGCCGATTGGACGGATCACGAAATTGATGGTGAGTAGTTATGTATTTGTCGATACTAGGCCAGGGTGAGGGTGAGAGCCCTAGAATAGGGTACAGCCCTAGAATACGGTACAGCCCTAGAATAGGGTACAGCCCTAGAATAGGGTACAGCCCTAGAACGGGGTACAGTCCTAGAACGGGGTACAGTCCTAGAATGGGGTACGGTCCTCAAAGTCCAGTCGGACACTCAGAGAGCAGTCTTCTGCAGTTCCTTTTCATAGAATCCGCCTATAATTTTTTCCCCATTTTGATTGGTGGTTTTAAAAGTAACCAGTCTGGTGTTTAAGATTTATGCCATTGTAAATATCTCCGAAGTCCAGTTTTATTTATATTTATCGAATGTTGATCTTGAATAACTGTTACTCACTATGACGCAACATAGAATATTTGATTATTGATCGTTTTTACCTTATAACCTTTGTTCTTGTAGAAAGATGATAAATCCTCCAATATATTTCGCCACAGTGTGTGGCATCATCAGGGAGACGAGAAGATCTATTTACACATTTTATATACACACAGTTTATATACACATCACCAGACCGTACGCTTACGTCCCGGCGGCTTCGCGTGTATATAAACTGTGTGTATATAAAATGTGTAAATAGATCTTCTCGTCTCCCTGATGATGCCACACACTGTGGCGAAATATATTGGAGGATTTATCATCTTTCTACATGAACAAAGGCTATAAGGTAAAAACGACCAATAATCAAATATTCTAGTTCTTGTCACTGGGAAATACATCAAATAAGCAACATAGAATAATCTAGATTGGAGTCAGACATGCGACTTACCATAGAACAATCTAGATTGGAGCTAGACACCTATATAAAGTAGTTTGTCTACTTGAACTGCTATTTGTGTTATAAAAGTGTTAGTGAAGCGTGTTAAGTGAGTGTGTATAGTCTAAAAGGGTTATAACTACTCTGACTCACAATATATTTTTATTTTGTGGGGTCAAAGTTGAATCAGTAGTGGAGATAATTAAAACATGTTCTTAATTAGTCTTTTGCTTTCTGGTTGAATAATTTATTTGGTTGTGAAAATATTGTTCTCTATATAGAGGTGATGGCCAACACTACGGTGTGCTCATATTGCAAAGAAATCTATTTCTAAGCCTCATATATCAAGACATAAGAAAATATGTCCGCAGAATCCTAATCAGAATCCTAAAGTGCCATGTGATTATTGTACTGTAGAATATTGTTCAGTGAAAACTATCTGTCTAGTCATGTTAAAAATTGTAAACAAAATCCAACCATACAACAACCTAAAACAAATCGGTTGGCTCCTTCTAATGAAGATGAACCTCAACCCAGCACTAGTGGGATTAGTAGCTTGAAACGTAAACCTCCGCCTGATTCGACTCCTAATGGACAGCCCCCAAAAGAGGTTATACGTTCGGTAAATGGGTTTAGACCTTCCGGTACTCAATTTATACCACCTTCAATATTCAACAAAATATATAATACTGCGGCCTCTATTTATTCTGGCATGAAGAAGGTTGTAACAAATACCAACTATCATCCGACTACTGATGCTGAAATTACTCTTAGCAAACGCGCATTTAAGAGGAGATTGAATGTTTATCAAATAGAAAACGATCATAATATAAAAGATCCCAAAACATATTTAAATAGACTTAAAAGTTTAGTTGTTGAGAAAATTCAACACCACCTAAAAACATCTGAAGTTAAATCAAATCAAATCAAATCATATCATTTATTTGTCTTTCGGATTTTTACAAATCATTGACAAAGTCAACACATCAGCCTATGAATAGGCCTACGTCATATACATACATACTACACATCAAAGTATCTAGAGGATGTAAAAATTAAAATGATAAATTAACTTAACTTTTTTCCTTTTACGCTATCTATTAATAAAACATAAAAACATTTGAGAGCTTAGTAAATTTCTTAAAATGAAGGAAAAAAAAATAATGAAATAATATTAATTAGGAATAGTTAAATTCCAACAACAGTAATTAAATACAAACAAAAATTTTTTTCAAGTTTTTTTTTTTGTCAAGCAATCAAAGAAGTTAGACAAATTTGTGTAAATCATTTAAGAAACTAAATTTTAAATACCTCTAAAAATCTCATGTAAAATACAATATAATAATATTAGAAGATAATAGTAATAACATAAATAATAATAATAATAAAATAAAATAAGTGCAAAGATTACATTATGTTAAAATTTGATTTCACCAATTTTTAAAAAGTCATCTAATGTATAAAATGGGTTATCTAGTAACCAATTATAGAGTTTGTTTTTAAATTGATTTATTGAATATTTTCTAATCATAGGCTCAAAGATATTGTAAATTTTTAAAGATATCACCACATGGCTATCCAACGATTTAGTTAAGCGACAATATTGAATCACTGCTTTAGTTTTGTTTCGGGTATTATAATTATGAATTTTGTCTTTGAATTTTAATAGATGAGAGTTTTTTAATATATAAACTGCAATTTCAAAAATATATAAGTCTATGACGGTTAAAATCTGAAGCTGCCTAAAAAGTGGTTTGCAATGTTCCCTAAAATGTACTCCAGCCATAATTCTAATCACCTTCTTTTGGAGCAGTAAAATGTCCTG